TATTGTTTAATGATATTTAGTATATCCTAAGAATTCCAGTTTGAACGGATAAATCCATTCGAAAGTATTGAACTTTTTTTCGGTCTTACCAAGATCTATTTCATATTTCAAGATGCATGAGGATATTCATCCTATTTTTAACTGACAATCATATTTTATGAGTTTATTTCAAATTTAGCTGCACCCTCATCTATTCAACCAGTTACCTCAAGTACTACTACATTAATGGATGAATTAATGGCAGGTACAAGACGAAACAATAAAAAAAATCATTGTAGTCATTCAAATTCAAGAGAATCTCAAGCTTGTTCATCAGTTATTTTTGTACTGAATAAAATATTCAAATTTAATTTTTAGACACTTGATTTATTAGAAAGATTTCGTGTAAAAGTTCATACTGCTAACGATGAACAAATTAGTGAACCTTTAAATGAAACACAATCAGAACAAATAGCTGATAAAGTTCAAACACCATTTTTAAAACATACTTTTGTATCTCAAGATTTATTAGATAATGTTCAAGATATTTATACGAATGCTGAATTATTAACTGTTTATGATCCAAGAAATCCAATGACTAAACGACGACGAGATGAAAGTAGTATGTTACTTCATCAAAAAAAACATAAAGGACGTACATAAAACAATGTTGTTGTTTTGTTCATCTGTGTATTATGTAATTTCTTTTCTTGATGATATAAAATAAATCGTTCCATAAAAAATATCATAAAAAGAAAGGAATTATTTTTCTTTATTGTATTCAGATAAATTATGCAACATTCATGTTCCCATACATGCCAACATGTTGATGAAACAAATGTTCGTCAATGGAATTTATATACAAAAATTGATAAATATAATTTACAATGTTATAATGAAAAACATGATGATTCAGGTAAAGATGTATTTCGTGCATGGGAAGAACAACTTGATCGATCAAAAGTATATTTTGTATTTGATTTATTCAAATAAAATACTATGCATACGTGTTGTTTTTTGAAAGGTAGTTGAAACTGATGATGAACAAGAATTACTTTTCAGTATACCATTTAATGGTGCTGTAAAAATAACTGGCCTATGTGTTATTGGTGAAAATGGTCCATCACATCCAAATACAGTTAAATTGTATGTGGATAAATTATTTCAATAAAGTAGGAGTTATGATTTCTATATATATACATATGAATAGATGGAGTAATTTACCTGAATTACGTTTTGATAATGCACATGGAAAAGCTCATCAAGAAATTTCACTTACATATGATCCATCCGGTACATTAGCTTATCAAGTCAAGTAAATATCTTGATTTTTTGAAAAAATTTTTAATCAAATATGTATTTTAGTCTATCACATTTTTCACGTGTAACACATCTATCTTTATATTTTCCTTCGAATTTCGGTGATGAAACAACTCGTATTTATTATATTGGTCTTCGTGGTGAATATCTTGGTGTAAGTGAATGTTATATTTCAATATGATTCTGTATGATTTTTTTCATGTATAGGAAGTAAAATCTAAAGTAGTCATTACAACGTATGAAGCTAGACCACAATTAAAAGATCACAAAGTGGATGATTTTTTAACAGGCCATCGTGAAATACAATAAACTGATACTATTGTTTTTTTTTATGTTAAATTTGCAAAAAATCTTTCTAAAATAAATTTTCATCTTGATTGAGTTTGTTGTGCTCAAGTCTGAAAGATAAAGATTTTATTAGGTTTTGTTTTGAAGAGCGAAATCGAACTCTTATACATTATTTCAAATAATTTTTAAAATTTATGATAAAAATCTAGCCTTCCTCATACAGACATCGACCTAAAACTATTCAACAGTTTCCTTGACTAGGGTTTGAAACTTGACCATACCCCAAAAATAAAGACTAATTAACTACCTGATTGAAAGCAGAGTGAACAATAAGCTAAACGAAAAACAGTTCTGATATGTAGAATATCTATTCCAGTCTGTGAGTTTCTTGCAGTCTAGTCAAAAATATGGCATATCTTACTGTTTTATCTTCTACTTTTCGTATGATGTTTGTCCAGTCTTTGCTTTTTCGAGATTTGCTTCACTAATCTAATTTATATTCGACTAAAACGCTGTATTCAAAAAATTAGTCAAGTGAATTCTTGATCTAACTCAGTTTAAATCTTACTTTCGTACATTTAACTTATTCATTATTAGTTACATAGGTTAATGACATCACAATAGACCTATAGTCATACATATATTCAACAAAAAATAATATTTGATTTTTTATAATCATATCTTGCATATTTAATTATGAAGAATCATATTTATATTAAACATGAAAAATTGACTATCAATATATTATCAAATAATTTATTAATTATTTGATTATCAGCTGAATTGAAGTAATTTCGATATAATATATACCTATTGTCATAATTTTACGTTTATGATAGTTATTGTATAAATATTGTAATATGTTTGATCTGAATTCGAATATACAAAGTTCCAGTTCAAATCCACTTGTTACATATAGTCCTATAAGATATTGACTAGATTTACAATTAATCTATGTTTCAAGTGATTATGTAGTTGAACGTTCAAACTCTTAATATTTTCTTTGATGTAATGAATATTTGTTAACGCCGTATTTTCACTCTGTATGATTTAGCATAAAATGATATTAAAGTTAATAGTAAAAAAAAATCAAGTTTCTATCTGAACCCTTAGTTCATTTGACAACAACATAATCATAATATATTTTTTTATTTAGATTACTTTTATTATATAATAAATCATTTGAAATATCTGTTAGAGTATTTGAATTTTCTTAGGATATATAATTTGAAATTGAAAATTCGATTTCTTATGTACATCAATTGATCATATCAAAGCTTCATTTTATGCAAGAGTAAGTAGGAAAACTGTAATTTATCAAATATCTGTAAAGATTTAATAAGATCTGATTTTTTTAATATTTATTTAAAACGAGAGATGAAAGAAAAATAGATAGTCTAAAACAATAACAGAAAAAAAATAATTGCAATTACGTCATATCAGCATTGATTTAAATATCAGATGAATATTGATTGTAAGTATTTGACTATCCATTGAGAAAAAATTTTCACTCGGATTGTGGACTAAAGATGAACGAATTCTAAACATTAAATGTATTCTTTATTTGATTTACCTTTTGTTGAGATATTTCTTATATATTTTACATCATTATATTGATAAAATTTTGTTTCATCAGCTTGTTTTCGCCATAGACTTATTGCAATATCAAATTCATTGCTAGTTGTTGTACTGGCTATAAGATAAATTTTTATTCATTAAGAATTTTTTTAAATGTCATAATTTACCATAACTTGATAACGAAGAATCATTCTGTAAATGTTTTCCATATTATGATTATTCAGAAATGATATTGACTACTGAAATTCTATTACACAATAATTGAGTAACTGCGTTGTTCTCATCAATGATACAATACGTAAATTTTACCTTGTCGCCAACTCATCGTATATTATTCTATTGACAAGCACTGAAAGTCTAAAATACCATAATATTATTTATATATATTTCTTTTTTTATATAAAGCTTACTTTAATTGTTGTGTTCCATCGGGGTCAGTTATTAATTTATTTTTGATATCAAGTTCAATATCCATTGGATTACAGTAATATGTATGTTTATCAATTGATTGTACTTGAAATTTCCAATAAGGATGATAGCATATGTTATTATCATTTCGTTTTAAAAGGTAAATCTTCATAAGATATTGAGCAGGAGTATTTAATAAATCTTGCTTCAGAATCTAAAAGAAAACAATTGTTTGAAGATAATTATTGAAAATAACAAAGCATTACATTAAAATAGTAATCAATATTATTATGTCCAGCATAGAAGAATCGTCTTGTTTCTAATAATTTATGATTATAATTCGATGTATTTTCATCTTCAGCACCACAATAAAATCTCTTCTCACATGATGTTACAGGTTCAGTTTGTTGACATTTCTGATTATAATTGAAAGCCAATTGAGAACTTGTCTTTGATTTTTGATTCATAGAGAACAAAGGAGCTTTTGTAATTGTGGATTTACCCTTTGTCACAGATGATGTTTCGATTTGATCAATAAATTTTATTTCTTTCTTATCTATGAAACAAAGTCGAAAAGCAAATATTTTAAGTTTGGTTTTAATAATATGACTTACAATTAAAGTTTTCACGGATGAATCGAATAAGAAGATTTCTTATTGTTTGATCACCACGCTTAAAAATCTTGAATTTTTCTTTTGAATCTATCTTATTAATAACAACTAATGGATCGAAATGGCGTAATTTTTCATCAAAAAGAACATAAATGCATTCAGACAATGGATTAGATTCAGTATCATAATAAGAAATTTTCCAATCAAGTTCACCGTGGATATATTCTATCGAAGCTAAAATAATCAATTTTTCATGCGTTTTGGCTAAGGTAGAAATTTCAAATTCGCCACCCCATAAACCACCAGTAATTCGAGACTTATAATCTTCGAAATTTTGACAACCCTCAACGCTTGCAACAGCAAGACTCTTCAGTTCTTCATCTTGCGAAATATAATTGAGCATGGCTTTACATATATCTTCGACAGTTGAGTTTTTTAATGAGCCAACCAAGTAGCCAACACTCCAAAATAAACATGAACCATCAGGATCAGCTTCTTCACGACGAAATTTATGTGTTACTTCGGATATTTTATTACCAATTCTTGATGATTTGTTATCTAAATAAAAAAAAAAAACATTTCTTTTTTTTGCTTTTTAAAAGACTTTGGTGACGTCCTGATGATTTTTTTTTCTTGATATCATCGCAATGTGTAATCTCAATTTTAGTAAACTACGTTTAGTAAAACAGAAATGTTATTTAATATATTATCAATCGATTCTTTACTATCAAAAGAAAAAAAATCTTTGAATAATATATACATATAAATCAGATTCGTCAAAGAGTTGCGGTCTTGATGACAAAAGTTTTTCTGTTACTTGCTTCAGTTGAGAGGAGTAATTGCAGAATCTACTAGTCTCACACCTGGAAAAATTCTTCAGTACTTGTATTTCTTTTTATTTTTATAGTCAACGACAGATATTTGTTCAGAACCAAAATATTTTTCTGGGCCCGGTCCTGGTCACCGAGACTGATCCCGAACATGTCTACTATTGATTCATAATGATTTTTGTAATAGAATAATAATCAAGACAAATAAAATTACCTAATGTTGATCGTCGACCTGTTTCCAGTTGATAATCTTTAGTGCATTTACGTACATTACTTTGCTCTTTAAAGCATAATCCTTGCTTTACTATAACATGGCCAAACATTTTAAGATCATTAGTTCCTTTTTTGTTTCCATTTTTACATGAGGAATAATTATAATCACTTGAAATTGATTTTTTATCACCTGTTGCTTTTTGCTCGTATGATGAATTGTTATTATCATTTGCAGGAATTGAACTTGAGACAGATTTCGATTCACGATTGTCTAAGAAAAACAAAACAGAATCAAAATTTTATTCTAATAATACTCTTACATTCTGTGGGACATGTTGCTTTATTTATGTTGTTATCATCATAATCATCTGTTTTTACATCATTTTTATCTATAAAGAACAATAAATAAATAAATAAATCCTATGTCAATATTTCTATTTTCAATTACATTTAAGATCATCTTTGATAAATTTACGAAGAAGAGATTTCACTACGTTATCATTATAATTAAAAGTTGTTATTTTTGTTGTCTTGCATTCGGTAGTCACATATAATGGATTAAAACTGGATTTTGTTTCATCATAGAAGATATAAATACACATTGTATCTGACGACATATTTACATGATCCAAGAAAGGAAATACTTCAATGCTTTTCAATTTATCGCTCTTGTAAACTAAATATATTGCTTTGCCATATAACATAACTAGAGCCTGAACTTCTAAATCAATAATTTGTATATTACCATTCTTAATTTGTTTACAACAATATTCGATAGTATTGCCAACAGGAACATAGCGTAACGCCTCATAATGCATATCTTCATGTTGCAGAATAAAATCAGCCACAGTTTTTCGTAGTTGTTCATTGGATAAATGATCAGAAATACGTAATAAATAGCGAAAAGATGTATATAAGCTTGATATACCACCGAAAACATCCCCACGACCAAATTGATGTGTTTTTACACATATTTGGTCCATATTAATTTAAAGGTTCACTTTTCTAAAATTAAAATAAACTCAAAATAATGCTACAGTAACATTTATTATTCTTTTAACGGAAAGCAAATTTGTTATCCTTTTTTTTCGTACATTATTAGTCATGCATCAGCTTTAGATCATCAGGTTAGCCAGTTTACCAATTTAAAAGTGGAACTGATGTATAGGTTCATATTATAAGTAGTAAATGAAAGTATTGCGATATACAAAGGATTTAAGACCTCTTCCGATACGCTGATGCCCTCCGTCGGCAGGTTCTCTCTCGTACGACGACTACCAAAGTATTATTATAGACTTTAAAATAGAAAGCATACGGCTCCTCCTTTTGAATAGTTTTGGATAAGCATTAACTAGAGAACCTCAGTCTTCATCATTCTAGTTATGATTCACTGACGAATGCGTTGTATGCTCTGGTTTTTTTGACGTTTTATTCAAAATACACTTTAAAAGTCGTGGAAATTTTGTAGAATTCTTTATATTCATGTTTTAGTTTGCATTTGTATATTATCAAACTAAATCGAATGCAATCAAGGCAACAATACCAACAGATTTCTATACACTTGATTTGGTCAGAGTCATCAAAATTAGTACTTCTAAATGTCTCATCAATATCGAACTACGTTTTAGAAAAGTGAATAAAATTTCGTACTGTTACCATAGGTTCAAATGAGATATAGCAAAATCTATATTATTTTTGTTAATTTTGCTGTTTTATTTTTGTTATGACTAGGTCTATGGAACACCAAATTTCAAAGGCAATAATTGATTTTTATTGAGGGCAACGTTCTCTATCATTCTGCGTAGTTTTATCATGTCTTGTATTCATATGCTGGAGGATAACTTCACTATTACGCAGTTATCTTCTTCAGCTTAGTCTTGAAACGTAGTACATTTTTGACTTAAGTTTTTTTTTGATTTCAAAAGCTTAAGATGACAGACATGTAAAGCAGTATAAGATGATATAATAATATGTTCAAAAAGCGATTCTTTTGATAATAATAAAGCTTGTCAATGTCTCAAGGACATTATGTATGTAGCATTTAAATTATTCTTCACTAAATAAATACAAGTTAAGACAAAAATATTTGTTTAAGATGATAGAGTATTTCAAGCTCTATCAGGATATATACTTACTTTAGTAAAAATGTACTTGTATATTGATGAAAAATCGAAAAAAAAAGAATGTAATATTGTTTGTTTATGTACAAAAACGAGAATTCCAGTACACTTACCTATCAGCCAATAAGAATTTTTGTAGTGCCATCTAGAGAAAGCTAGATTTTCTGTCTTACCTAAATAACTCCTATCTAGGCGGTGCTAAATTGTAAGAAGCGAACTGACAGGAAATGTAGATGCCATAAAAAAAACAATATAAAATGCGTCAGAACAAATAGATTTATACCGAAAAATTAGCCAGAAATAAAGAGTAAATGTTTCCAAGGTAGAATTCCCTGTCGTTTTAGAAAGCAAGATGAGCCACACATAACATTGTATGTGACTTATCCTAGCGTGTTCGAACCAATACAATGACTTTTCATTTTTTATTCTCAACTATCCAAAAATGGTTCGACTTTGACAAAGCTGAAAGCTCAATTTGCATACAATTTTCAATTGGATTGATTATTCGTTCTTTTTTCTTTCGAGACAGACAACTGAAACATGAGCCAAATGAAGACTTGATTGTATATCGAAAATAACAAAAATATTTAGAATAAATATTATTTATATTTTATGTTGGAAAAGTATTGTTTCTTTTGTATTCAAGAGAAACCCACATATTCTCAACGAAAAAACTAAAAATACTTTCACGATTAGTTTTCAATACTAAGTTCTATTTTTCTGAGTTCATTATTAATTAATTACTGTTCTAAGTCACATTTTATCATGTACATAAAAATGTTAAAAAATCGTCAGTTATTTTATAAAACAAAACCTCATAAAAAATGTTGAGTTTGAATATTTACGTTTAAGACGAGTTGGCAGTAAATTATTGAAAATAATAAAACAACAAAGCCTATTATCTTACTCTGCTTAATGCAAAATACTTCTGTTCGTCGGTCTGTTTGAAGGAAACTTAATGAAATGAAACATCTATAATAAGTGAGATTCATAGAACGCAAATTCTGAATAACAACTTCAATTTAATAAGAATGTAGGTGTGGGTGTGTGGAGATGTAACATTGATTAGACACTTACATCCACATGCACTTATTCATTTCTTATACAACGCTAGACCAGATGACTGTCAACAATGGTCCACTCGGTCTTATCGGTGATTATATCAATGGAATCAATCTACGAAGTTCACTTCGTATGCTGACAATGCAGAAACTATCTTATATGTCAAGTATTTCTTATCAATTGTTCATTTTAAAGACAAGATGTATAATATTGGTATTCCACAAGCACTCAACTAATAGAAACTAATTTTGCTCATACAAACTGTACTCAAATAATATCTGAACAAGTCATCCTTGCTGATGCTGACTTTTCTGAAAGTATGTTATTCTTATATCAATCAAATTTGCCTATATTGATTTATATGGGGCCACATTTTATCAAACAAAACCTATCAGACCCATCTTTGATTATGCCAAAATGGAGAAAGTTAATTTTGCGGATGTTATCTTTCATGGTTGGTCAGAAAAGCCAGCAAGTAGTTGATTTAGTTAATCGAATATCGCCCATAAAATTTTTGTACGTGTCGTTTTGTTTAATATTTGATGTGAGCTACGTAATGTGAGAGGATTCGATTTTTCAAACTAGTATTTACTCGAGTTCGAATTTTATGAGAATAAGTTCGCGTTCGCCTCATGTGTTAATAGAGTGCGAGTGTGGGTATTTCTCTTGAAACCAACATTCACACCAACACCCATATGAAGAAAATATTTTCATTCATATTATCTCTCTTTTTCTTTTTATCTCTTCTCACAAACGTTGCCTACATTAACAATATAAATTAGTTTTGGGTATGGGTGTTAGTGTCGATGTCGGAGTAGAGAAGATCTACACCCACACCCTCTCGTGTTATTTATTCTCCCAATTTATGCTGAATCGATGTTTTGATCAGAAGAATATGACGTCGATGCAAATTAGAATTCGGTATAGGTCTCTTGTAATTGATTAGGATTGACTGATGCCACAGGAGGAAAAGAAAGAATTTATTTGAACAAAACTAACAAAATATGTTTGTTCTCTGTGAATGTCAGATGTGATTGTAGGCCTGGTCGTCACTGACAATCACGCTCTAAAAAGTCACACACTTTGTGACATCAAGCAGCCAAGCTTAATGAACTTTTCCATGAAAACTAAAACTAACGGAAAACGGTTAAATTCAAGAAGCGACACTTGATATGATTTATTTAAATTTTATCAACAGATCAGTAGCATTCACCGTGCATAAGTTAACATTAGAAGAAAAATAAAATTTATTCCCTGTGATACAGTTTTAAATAGCTTCGCATGCCTTTGGTATGAAAAAAACCAACTTTAAAATGTGTGAAAACCCAAGAAATATCAACTGACACAAAATGATATGCTATTTAAATCGAACCAACACTTCGCTTATATTTCGTAATAAAGAGAAAATTATACATAGCAAGCCACATTCGTTTCGTTTCTACACATGATTATGCATTGTAGAAAGCACGCATCATCTTTGCTAAAAGACAAAAAGAAGTTTCCCATTTATGTTAGTCTATCCAAATCATTTGAAAACGATGTTTCTTTGCTGAATCGTCTTTTGTTTATTGAATAAATCGCCTTGTTAAGCCAATGATCATGACTATGATAATCCGATAGTTTGGTTTGAATAGAAGAGCAGCATTGGTAATGCTCGTACACGAACTCTTAGTAACTCCATTGACTGTTACGCATACCGAAGGGTAGTTCGATGTACACAGTGAAGGCAAACAGTTGAAGCAATCTGCTACTTGAATATTTCCCACAGATGTGGCCGTGCACAATGCACCACTACAACACTCACATCGGCACGTCAAGCCATTACTGTGATTAATAAGAATCAAAAACATGAAAAGCATTAACATGAATAATGAATATAATTTCATGGCTCAAAAAGATTGTGGTTCGACTTCTTTCGAACTGATTAATGTAAAGGAATCGAAATGAGATGAATGAGCTGTTGCGAATAATCTACACGACTATTTATGTTTGTTGGTACGTTTTTGTCCTGTTCTTCATTTAACTTTATTTGCCTTGTGATCGAATTCGAAGCTTTTGTTTTGCATAAACTCTTGTCAAGTTGTTTTGTATTGATTTCAAAAGCGCAGCTCGATATTCTAGAAGTGACTTTTAATTATACTTTAAATCGTTGACAAAACCAAGATTCAAGCGATATCAAATAAATACTCTCGGCTTGGATTTCTAGTGGTTCCCTCTCCATATAATGAAAGGTGTTCAAGATCAGGTTTCTCACTATTGATTTTACGAATCGAGATATCGTAGAGCGATGCTGACGTTATTAGCACACTTATAAATCACGGGGGATCGAACGCTTTTGAACTGTAATTCAGCCCAAAAGAAGAAAAAAAATCGGATGTTACTGCAAAATGCCTCATAACAGAAAGTTCGTGCTTGTACAACAGATTAAATCGAATCGATCTGAAATAAAGACCTTTGTTAAGGTCAGTCTTTCTGCCAACCATACTTTCGATGGAAAATTGTATAAATGTAACTATTCAATCATGACTTAAAGCCTAGTATCGGAAAGGTGTGCCAAAACTTCAAATCAAGAATTTTCATATTCATATTGTTACAAGTTCACAGAATAGTTCCTCCTAAAATTCTATTACACAAACTACTGATAAAGTACAAGGTGAAACCAATCGCATTCCATAGAGCCGTTGAAAGTGTCCATCATACACTAAAAAAGTTCCGACTTTTACAACCAAATCGAAACTGGAGTGGGTGTGCGTGTGTGGGTGTGGGTTAGAGTGTGAGTATTTGCGCTTGCGTGAGACATG